TGTGACAAAATTCTTAAAATTGGCTTTTATTCAAAAAGGGGGGCTGTAAAAGGACTGTAAAGATATAATGCCTGTCTGGAAGTTTGTTCAAAACATTGCATTTCAGCAGACTGTCTCATTATCTACCATTTATTTCTTCTCTTGTTATTGATAATTTGCTTTTAAATTGAAAATGCTTCCTTTATAAACCATTTCATCTCCCTGCATGACTAGACAATTACATTTAAATTCTGTGGTTTTTCCCTTTGTAAACAGTTACTGTGGAAATGACTAAGATGTTAGTAACCCAGAATTATGACTTCATTGTATTATCACTTAAGGATAAAACTGCCATCATTATTATTTATAGAATGCTTTGAACATCTTTTGTGCTTTACAAAGGCTTACAAATGCCAAGGATTTCTCTGCCCTAAAGAAGTTACTGTGTAACTCAGACAGATACCAAAGATAATGTGTGGATATATCATACATGGAAAGGTCAGTGTGGTTCAGTTAAAGAAGCACTGGAATGGGAGTCAGGACACCTGTTTAGGAGGCTCGCTACAATGGGCTATCTAGGCATACCTTGAGAGGCTTGAGAGAAAAGAATCTTTTCCCACACGCCGTTGGGAGTGACAACAAGGTCCTCTTTGATACTTTCTGCATCTTATTTTGAGGGGTTGGCATTCATAGATTTTAAGGCCTGATCTCCTGACCACAGGCCAAAGAACCTCGTCCAATAATTTCTGCATCAAGCATTATTCTCTGCTCTGCCACTAGCCTGTTGTGTGACCCTAGGCAAATCACTTCTTCTGTGTGTGCCTTTGATTCCCTGCCCAGGCTTTGTCTTGTGTTTAAGACAGGGACTGTCTCTTCTTACAGCACTTGGAGCCCTGATCTGAGTTGGGGCCTCTAGGTGCTACTGTAACACATAATTAATAACAACATTGAAAGACTTAATGAATGGATTGAACAATATTGATATGCATGAAGTGAAAGGCTGTTCTATGCAGTGGGGGCTATATGAAAGGGGACATGAAGATCAGAATGAAAGAAAACACTTTTTCTTTCAAATAATTAGCATTCATATAAAACACAAATGTATTATTGTTATGGGACTTCTGAAAGAAAAACTCTGTCATAGTTGATGACTATTCAGGCAGCCCTGATCCTGCAAACACTTAGGTGCATGCTTAACTTTAAACACAAATAGTTCACAAAAAGAAAAGGAGTACTTGTGGCACCTTAGAGACTAACAAATTTATTTGAGCATAAGCTTTTGTGAGCTACAGCTCACTTCATCGGATGCATAGAATGGAACATATAGTAAGATATAGATAGATAGATAGATACAGATAAGTTGGAAGTTACCAGACAACCTGTGAGAGGCTAATTAGTTAAGATGAGCTATTATCAGCATGGCCCCACAGTATGCTAACATTTTTATGGCTGACTTAGAACAATGCTTCCTCAGCTCTCATCCCCTAACACCCCTACTCTACTTGTGCTACTTTGAGGACATCATCATCTGGACTCATGGAAAAGAAGCCCTTGAGGATTCCCATGATTTCAACAATTTCCATCCCACCATCAACCTCAGCCTAGACCAATCCACAAAAATATTTTATAAAATCCCCCTACTGTATTTTCCACTGCATGCATCCGATGAAGTGAGCTGTAGCTCACAAAAGCTTATGCTCAAATAAATTTGTTAGTCTCTAAGGTGCCACAAGTACTCCTTTTCTTTTCGCGGATACAGACTAACACGGCTTCTACTCTGAAACAAATAGTTCAGTTGGCCTCAGTGGGACTACTCACGCTTAAAGTATGTGCCAAAGTGTATGTAGGACAGAGGCCTTAAACTTCCTGTTTTGTGAGTTCTGCTGTATTTGTACAATTTGTAACTTAGCTTCTTTTATGGCCTCCATAACTATAATATCATAATTTTTAATGTATTTATGTTTACAACACCCCTGTGAGGTAGGGAAGTACTGTTTCCCGCAATTTACAAATGTATTACTGAGGCCCAGAGAGACAAAGACCTAGATCCTCAAATGTTTTTAGGTACCTAACTCTCATTGAAACCAATCTTGAAATCAATGGGAGTTATGCACCTAAATAGCTGTAAGGATCTGAGACTTGCCCAAGAACACACACAGGATATCTGTGGCAGAGTAGAGAACTGAACCTGAGTGTCCAAAATGTTAACCTAACATCCTAACCATTGGATCATCCTTTATTACTAATTATTATTTATTATTGGTATTACTATAGTGTCAGGAGCCCTAGGAGCTCCTCTCCCAAAGAGTTTACAGTGTAAGTATTAGTAAAGAAATGACAGGCGCATACAGACAGATAGGGGAGAACAAAGAAACGAGACAATATCGGCCAGCAGGATAGTTTATTCTGCAGAGCCTAAAGCTACTGACACTGAAGTCAAGAGCAAAACTCTAATTTCACTTCCATGGAAGCAGGATTGGCCCCATAGAACCCAATGACCAAACTCCGAAAACTTCAATGGAACCAAGAATTTAGCTTATATTGCGTGAGCATTTCTCATTAAATGGTAGTGTTGTGCACTGAAATTTAGCTTGCAGTACCTATTTCTGTTCTGTCTTAGCATAAATACTGAGGTACTTGGAGATATTCGTCCACATCACAAACCCATCAGAATAATCAGTAATTGATAAGAAGGGATGTGCAGAGGTAATTTGGAAAATTAGTTACATTTAAGAGCACCCCTATGAAAAGAAAAATTGGTGGAGCACAAAAGAAATGCTACTGCTATATTTACATGTATACTAAAGCTTCTTTTGATGTCACCTTCCTTTTCCTTATGACCATAATGAATATGGATTTGTTAGATGTCTTGTAGTGTCCAATGATAACTCTGGGTTACTACTGTAAAATATTTTTGTTTAAAAAACAAACATAACACTATAGTTCCAGTTATATTTCTCTTCTGCACCCATTGAATTCATTATTTGGACTTTAGTGTGAGTTTTTGGGTACATAAGTAATGCAGGAGCCTCAAAGTCCTGATCTGCAACTAGATGCACCTGAAATCAATAAGGCTCTGCACAAGTGCTGGGATTTGCCTGCACAGATCAAGTTACAAGGTCAGGCCATACATTTTTAGAGAGCATATTTTAGTTATTTGGTAATATAAACTCTGATCCTGAAAATGCACATCTGAATAACTTTACAGATGTAAGTAGTCCCATTGAGTTAAAAAATGAGCCTTCAGATCATTAATTTGCCACTGCTGCATGTCTGACAAAAATAAATTATTTCACACCTAGGAAATTGGTTAAAATGCCTCAATTCTTCCAGCATTTGTGCACTTGAATAAATGTAGACCCATGACTAGTTCCCCTGAGTTCAGTGTTTACAGGATCAGGCCCATAATTTTGAGCCTAAAGTAGAAGAAGGAACAGGTTATGTGCTGGATTGTTTACTAAGGCTCCAATCCTGCAAATAATTAGGCATGTGTTTAACTTCACCTGTATGAGTAATCCCACTGCAATCAATGGGACTACTTTACAGGGATAAAGTTGGATATATGCCTTAATGACTGCAGTATTGGATCACAAGTATTTACTTTTGACTTACTAGTGTAAGTGCTCAAAGTTCCCGGTACTACTTTGCTGCTAACTAACTTAAAAAAAAGTCTTAGTTCCACTCCTGTTTCTGCACAGATACAGAGGGGGAGAGTATTCATACATTTTTATCTGGTGTGGTTTTAAATTATTCAAACAGTGTTTTTTTCTTTTAATTAGATGACATGTGGACCTTCAAAATGTTAACTATTTTTCATTGTAATCTATATATTTAAATAAAATGGGAATTGTCATTATATAAATCATCCCCAACCTCTCATAGGTGCCTATTATTAAACCATAATAACACTAATTTGCTAGAATCACACAGTGTGCAACACACAAACATTGGATAATTATACCAATTAATACCTAACCTATTAAAACTGATAAATCACTATTTTTGACAGGTCCTGATGTTGTTTATTTGTCAAACTTCCTCCGAACTAGCTGCTGTCAGACCTGTTTAACAATAATTCATGGAGCTGGGGATGCTACAATACCTTTTCTCGTTAATTCAGCATTTGAATTCCTCTAAGATTTGTTTTTTGAGGGAGGGAGGAAAATAGGCAAAGATCTCTCAGTATTGCCAAAGGCATCATTTTAATCAGCAACTTCCTGTCACTTAAGTATTATTATTTGTCAGACAGGCAGCAGTGTCAAACCCTGCCTAGTTTTGCCATGGGAGCCCCGTTTTTAGGTTGGCTTTTTATCGAGCCCGCTTTTGACAACCCTTTGCAGGGAAAGTTGTAACCATCTCCCTAGTGTAATAAGCCAGCAGCTGTGCTATTTCCTAGGCTAGTATCCATTTTACACTCGCTCCATCCCTCTCCCCAAATGGTTTCTGTGCATGATGGCAAGTAATGTGCTTCTGAACAGAGTGGAGTGTTCCTGCCCCCCACCCCACGGCCTCTCCCCAAACCCTAGGTCCCTATGGGACTAGTAGGGGGTCCCTCGATGGCTGAGCAGAGAGAGCAAGAGCAGAGCGCCGGGAGCCTGCCTGCACCTGCCAATCCCGAGGTGCAGGCGTAACGGCGCGTGGAGGAGGGTGGGATGCTGGCAGGGAGACCCGCTCGTCCCCTCCCAGCGCCGGCCGCTTTGCTCTTGCTCGCCAGGGCTCTTCTCACCGCCGCTTGCTTCTCCCACCCCCCGGCGGGCTTGAAGGTCATCTCGCTCCCTCTCCAGAGCCGCTTTGCAGCGCCGGCTGGGGAGGAGCTGCGCCTCCCCCTGCAGCCTTGAGGCGAACCCCGCAACCCACAGTCACCTGGCTCGAGTGGCTCCTGGGAAATCCCCCGGCGCGGGGCTCGCCAGCTGGGGGGGGGGTCTCTGTAAGCTCTCCAGGCTCCCACGCAGGAGGGGGAGGTTCCTCTACGAGCTCTAGGCTCCTGCATGAGGGAACCTCTTTGCCAGCTCGAGGCTCACCTAGCGGGGAATCTCGCCACGAGCTGCGCCAGGCTGCTGTTGCGAGCGCCAGCCACATCTCCAGGGATGGCTCGGCCAGCCTGAGGCGCACGCTGGGGAGCTCGCCGTCAGCTGCGGACTTCGCCTGCGAGCTCCCAGCTAGGGGGCCACTGCACAAGGTGCTCTCTCGATTGCCCTTGCAAGCTCCTCTTCGCCACCAGCTGCCCCGGACTCTCCTCGCGAGCTCGGGACTCCTCGCCAGGGATTTCTCTGCCAGCGCGAGGCTCGCACCCAGGACGGGAGCTTTGCCCGCGCGCGTTTGGCTGCAGCCCAAGTGACACTTGTGAGGGAGGAGGAGGAAGGCAGCGGGGCTCGGAGAGGAGGACTCGGGATGCCCTGGTGACGGCGGGGAAGGAGCTCTGGGGGCCGGGAAGCGTCCCCAGCTGCCCCTGGGCTCTCTGTACGCTGCCAGTGCCCAGGAGGTGCGAACTCTTTGCCGCTGAGCCGCTGCTGAACGGAGCGGGAGAGACACAGTCCCCTTCAGCCTCCTTCTTCTCTTTATGGTGAGTTGAGCCTTTGGTTTGGGGTAGGGCGGTCGGGCGAAGGTACCAGCCCCTGGTGCGCTGGGAAACCCCCCTAGCTGGTCCCAGCAGCTCAGAGAGTTGTTTTGCTTTACTGTGGGGGTGGGGAATTACCCGAGGAAGCCCCCGCGTTTTCAATCTGAAGCCATTCTCTCGAAGTGGCACTTCAGGGCAGGACCTTGTGGAGAACGTAGGGCTGGAGGAGTCCCCTTCAGGTGCTCCCGCTCTGCCTTGGAAAGCCAAGTGCTGCAACAAATGGAAGGGATGTGTTTGCTCTGAAGTGTACGCTAAGTCAAACGCCAGTTTCCCTTCTTCTCCTTGCCCCACTCATGCATCCCATTTGCAATGATATCTTGCTAGTATCTCCGTTGTTGCCGGAGGGGTCTGTGTTGTGCCTGTTTGACAGTGTATATACTGGTAAGTATTTGGTGCAGAAAAGTTACTGAAACATGGTTCAGGTAACAAGTTCTGAAATGTTTTTCATATGCAGGTGTGTTCAAAGGAGAGGGAGGCAGATGCATGCCCAGGCTGGGGACCTGGATTGGGTGAAACAGGGATCATGCCAATGAGATAAATGTATATGTGGAGGAAACTAATGGGAGTTAAGTGTGGGATGAGAAGGAGAACAAAGCAGATAACTGAATAACATCATTCAAACACTTTTTTAAATAAAGCAATCTATTAACACAGAGCAGAATCCTAAATGCATGATAATGTTTATCTAGCTTCTAGCTGTTGTTATGGGGAGCTGAGCAAAAGTGGTGCGACTACAGATAGCTTTTCTTATGGAAAATATCAGACGATATTACAGTGATGGGAAGCTTTGGGGACTGAACCTATGACTTTTCAAAAAAATGCAAAAATCCTGGAATCTGCTTTCAAATGAATTACTGATTTAAATTCTGATTCTTCCAAATTATTTAAATTTGTAAAGTGCAAAAGATTTTGTGAAAGCCTACAACTTGTCATTTAACTGGTCCAGTTTATGAACGTGGCAAAGTATGTCATTCGAATCTTATTAAGAAGCAGCAATTTAGTGATGACTAATTTAAACTGTAACAAAAACTCTGCTCATTCAAGGTAAATTGAGTTATAAAATGTAATAAAGACATAGAGGACAATGTCCTGAGAACTGACTTTTCTTTTTAAATCTTGCCCTGGTGTACAGCTACAGGACTGAAGATATTGAATGTTATTTACATTATTTAGGTCTAACAAAGAGTAAACATTTTTGTTCTATATTTAAAAGCAAGAACAGGATTTGTTGCTTTAGTAATAAAGACTGATAATACAGTGTATGTCTGGAAAGAGTTTTAAAGCACCATGCTTCTTAAATCTATTATCCCATAATAATGAACTCACAATCTAAAGTGAAGATACTCTTGTTTTCATAAAATAAATATGATTTTGCAGGTTTAGAAATATGGTCCATTAAGGGGCTGTGAAAGTGTATTGCAAAGGTTAGGTAGAAACAAAGTGAAGGGCATTTTCAGTGTATGCTTCTCATAAGACACTAAATTTAACTTTAGCAAAGTGTACTAGATCACAGAAGAGGGCCCTTTAATTAGAACTATGGCAAACAAATTAGGACAACTGAAATTATGGTATTTCTAAGTTTATTTAGTATTTCTCTTTACTTGGATGGTTTGAAGTACTGATTTCTTGGGATACACTTTATATTTAGTGTTTCTAATTACAGTCCCAGTCAGATGTCTAGTTGAAGACGGTATCTTGCACAGGCTTCAAAGGCTGGACAAACAAGTTTCCCTTAAAATTGATTTATTCTGCTAAATACATCTGACAAAGGGTTTTGGCATTTTCTGAAATGTAGACTGTATTTATGCAACCTGCATTCCTTTTTAAGCTAACATTTAACTTGTTAGCAACAATACAGCTGACAAGTACTGTGGTCAAATTCACAATATGTTGATAATTTTGATAATGCTTATAGCCATGACACTTGCGGTCACTGGGTAATGGGGACATTTTTATTTTCAGAAGCAGGTATCCTTAAGTACCAGAAATACTTGCAGAAGTCGGGTGTCACTGAGGAGACTGAATTCACTAATTCTTGGATTAATAAAATATGTACTTTTAGCAAAGAGTGCAAATGTAGAAATACAGGGGTAGAACCTCAGCTGGTGTAAATGGTTATAGCTTCAGTAAAGGGCCTATAATTCACAGCAGCTGAGGACCTGCACCACAGTATGTGTATTTAATTTTGTATTGACATGCACTAACTCAAACTGGAAAGTAATGAGGTTACCTCCTGAGAAAGCATTAAAACAAGTGGCTGCTGACCTTGTTTTGGAGACTCTCATGTCTCCATGCATCATGGCCCAATATAGTGGCCACTTCTAACCTGTGCCTCCATTCCCCTCTCTCCTCTGTCCTTTTCTGTTTTCTGTATCCCATTTCCCCACTTGTTTCTTGCCCCTCTTCCGTCCCTTGTTCCCCACAGACTTTTTCCCTTCTCCTCCCTTCCTGGCTCTCCTGTCTCTCCTTCAACCTCACAAGGATTCTCCATTTCCTGTCAGAGCCCACAGCTGTTGCCATTGCTGCCAGCCACATGGTTTTTTGTCCCTTCCCCAGCTACACAGTACACAGCACTGCTACCAGAAACAGCAGACAGTGCTACAGTGAGTATTGCTTTGTAATGCCACTTGGGGAGAAGAGGCTAGGAGCCTCACACTTCAAAGATCTTTCTGTGCCTACTTCTCTCCTGGGGGAGCTTAGTGCCTTCCCAAGATTAGGAACACTGCACGAAAGGGATTTGGTGCACACATTTGTAATGCAAACCATTTCCTTTGTACATACGGGGTGTAGCTTTCTTTACATTACAACACAGTAGACCCAGACTTATGTTTAAAGTGGTAGAAAAGGTGAATATCAATTTACAAGTGTCCTTTTTCATTTAAAACTAACAACCAACCTGTTAAATAAACCAAGAAGATAAAAAAGAATCTGCTCAATTCAACTGATCACCAGAGAAGTTCATTCACCATCCTGAGAAGGTTTATTGCTAAAGCCTTTTCTTCAGATTAGCTTTAGACTAAAGTTTAGAGGGAACCTGGGATTTCCACAGTTTAAATATGGTGTTGGTAGATAGGTTAAGGTGCAGTGAGGATTATAAAACCGACTCAAAGAAAGGTAAAAATACATACAACTTTAAATTTTGTAGGTGGAGGAGTGTTTTGTTTTTTTTTTAATACACTTTAAGTGGATATTTCAAATGGACTTATTTGCATTGCAAAATTATATGGCATGGTGTTGATCTGTGTGTGATTTGTATACTGCATATATTGCTGATTTCTAATGCAGGTTACTGGCACTTACTTATTTGGGGGGAAATATCACTGTATATCTTTGAGTTTTCCCGTTGTTGCCAGCAAACACTGGCCTGTCAGTAAGTGTACATGGAACTGAATAGGTGTTCCAGTAAATATTCATGCTTCTCTCTAAGTGTGAGAACTTAAAGTTTGACATAGTAGATGAGACCATTGATTCATCCAGTCAGGGGCTGCCGCGTAGCTAATGATCCTGATGCAGCAACCCCTTCCTTCCTAAGGAAGCCTGGTATTTGGGCAGTGTAGTAGTCAGAGGGTGAGGATTGTGGACATGTTGGTAGCAGTGTGCATGTTTATGACTGGGAACACATTCTTGATCTTCACGTGCAGTCAATCTTCAGATTCAAGGCATAAAAAGAGTTGAGCAAATCCACCCCAGTGACACCAGTCTGGCTCCATTTGCGTATTACAGTAGACTCTGATTCTGCAAGCCCTCTATGTATGGCACTCCCAGTGATGTCAGAAGTCCAACATGTGAATGGCTGAAGGATTCAGCCCTTCCTTAGCACAATTATGAATGTTACTTGTGGTTGTAGCTGGGCTAATGGTGGGGAAATTATTCACATTCATCTTGATGAATCATACATGAAAATAAGGCTTATGTGGGATTTAACTGGAGTATCAGCCTTGTTCTGGCCCTCTGCACAGGTAAATTTCTCTCTAGAAGAATCATAGCCCAAATGAATTGTTCAAGAACCACTACTGCTGGGGAAGGTTAGGTTGTCCAAACCAGAGAAAGATAAAAGGCTAACCTTGGAGAAATAATCAACAGTAACTAATTCATCATGCTCTAGCCTTTAAATGATGCAGCCAGTTTTCAAATCCAGCCACAGTATTTTGCATGGTGACCTCCTGCAGTACTAAATTCCACAAGTATGAATTAAATAGTCCATTTCCTTTTGCTCTACATTTTCTGTCCTCTTATATTTCAGTGAGTCTCCACCTGTTTTCTCAGGCTCTGATGCTGCTCAATGTGTGCAGACCCTTGTTGGAGGAACCTAACTGACTTCAGTGGGGCACTGAGTGTTGACCAGGGTCTGTCTGTGTGGAAACAGTTGCAAAATGCAGGCCTTAGTCCTGGGTCAGGAGAGAAATAAATGACTGATAATTATGAAAGGTAGA